CAGGAGGTGAACTTAGTAGGGCTGGCTCATGGATCCCCTGATATGCACAAAATCTGACATTGGGAGAGGTTCTGATGGAGGAGCCTGGGCAACTCCTCTGGCAGGACACAGACCCTGCAGGTAAGCGCAAGAAGCATGATAGGAAACAGCCCAGAACAGGCCATGGAAAGTTTCCCACTGGCATACATTTGGCATGGGTCGGGTGCAGACCAGGCTGAATCAGTTCATGTCATCCACTAGCAAATCCGAGCACCGGTACAGAGTGTGGGTTGAGCCAGGTTCGGTTGTGACAAAAACCAGTGTACAATACGGAAACCCAAGGTGAGGTTGCCTGTAGCGGATGTGACCGCACTGCCCAACCAGCATGCATGAGAACCAGGAAGGGAGGGGGCGAAGCCGGCAGGGGGAATAGGGGGGTGGGGTTCCCTTGCTGGACAGCTACTCCCACTGGAAAGCATGAACTGGGAAGGGGACAGGACCAGACTAAGCAGGGCTACAACACCTGTGGGCCTCATGTGGACTAGATCAGGGAAAAGCCAGGCTGAGCTGATTATTCCTACTGGTGCAAACAAAATTAGAGTGGGTGAGGCTTGTTTGGGCTTAGCTGCAGCATCAACTGGCAGAAGCTAGCCCTGGGGGCTAATTCTCTCAAGTCAAACCACAGAACCACCTAGAGAGTGCATAATCCGGGAGTGGGAGAGGCTGCGAGGGAAATAGTGGGCTCCTCCCTGTTGGATTACCACTCCCACAGGAGGGCACAAAAACTAGGACAGGGACTGGGGTGGCTAGACAAGAGAGACACTCAACAGCATGTGTGTGGGCTGCATAGGGGAACTGGTTAGATGGAACTAAGCTTTAACACCCATTGACATGTATGAGAGCTGAATGGGATGTGGGACAGACTGGACTAGTCTGGTACACATACTGGCAAACCAGGGTAGGGGGCGGGCCTAGTGGGGGTTACTGTGGGTCACTCCGACTAGGCTGCAGCTCCCACTGATTTATGCGAGGGCCAAGTATGTGCTGGGCAGAACCAGGCTGGACTGCAACACCCATTGGTTCCAGTGGAAGTCGGGGCTGAAAACAGAACCAACCCAGCAATTGCAACCACCAGCTGATTGGGGCGATGGACTGTGCCGGGCCCTGTACTTGCTAGCACATACAAGAATCTGGTCCGGGAATACCTCAGACAAAGTTTCTTTGTGGATCTCCCCAATCAAAATGCCGGACTCGGAACCCTAACCAAGAAAAGAGAGAAGACAGAACAAGTCAATCAACCACCTCAGCTGTATGTTGGCAGCAAAATATTGGGCAAATGGAGACTCTATGATGAACTATGTCAATCAGTGGATTCTTCAATGACCTCATCGTGCTTGGAGTGGCAAGACTGGCAGTGATTCATAACTGGTGAACTATCAAAACCACTTGAACAAGAACCTCGGAGCATGCCCTACATCCGGGACCTGGGATGGGTGAGAAACTGGGTGGGGCTTCTCCCTCAATATCCCCTCTCCCTCAGATACATAAAGGAAACAATATGGGAATAATAGTCTTACCCACATTCCTACAGTCCTTGAACCTTTTTTACCCTAATTAACCATGTAAGGATGGTCAAAAATATAATTCAAAAATGAAAACAAACAGGGCCCGGCGCGGTGGCGCAAGTGGTTAAGTCCTCGCCTTGCACGCCCGGGATCCCATATGGGCGCCGGTTCTAATCCCGGCAGCCCCGCTTCCCTTCCAGCTCCCTGCCTGTGGCCTGGGAAGGCAGTTGAGGACGGCCCAAAGCTTTGGGACCCTGCACCCGTGTGGGAGACCCGGAAGAGGCTCCTGGCTTCGGATCGGCATAGTATCGACCCGTTGCAGCTCACTTGGGGAGTGAATCATCGGATGGAAGATCTTCCTCTCTGTATCTCCTCTCTGTATATCCGCCTTTCCAATAAAAAAATAATAAAAATAAATCTTTAAAAAAAAAAAAAAAATGAAAACAAACAAAAGAAAAGAAAAAGCAAAGGAAAAAAAAAAGGATATTAACAGTCATTTTTCAAAGGATGACATTCAAATGACCAACAGACCCATGAAGGAATGTTCAGGCTCACCTGTGAAAACCACAATGAGGCTGCATCTCACTGGTCAGAATCAGAGAACAACAAAACAATGCATGCTGGTGGGGAGTTGGAGAAAAAGCACCCTAATCTACACCCATGAGAACGTCAACTAGTGCAATCATTAAGAAGGAAAGTTTGGAGACTCATAGGAGATTTGAAAAAATATCTACCATATACCCAGCTACTCCACCCCTGAAAATTTACCCAAAACAAATGACAGTAACAGCTGAAAGAGTTATTTGTATACCCGTGCTTATTGTAGCTCAATTCGCCAAAGCTAAGATACAGAATCAAGCCAGCTGTCCATCAACAGATGAGTGAATAAAGAAAATGTGATTCCCCTCACCCCCACACTCCCACACTATGGAATACTACTGAGCCATCAAAAGGAATGGAATCCTGACTTTTGCAATAAAATGGATGCAACTGGAAACCTTTTTGCTTAGTGAAATCAGCTAGTCCCCAAAAGCCAGACATTGTGTTTTTCCCTGATCTGTGGTATTAATACACAGAGCATAAAAAGGGTACTCTATGTTAGCAAGATTGACATTTTGAAATTTGATTATGGTTTACAGGGTGTCTACTTGTTATTTCTTGAAAGCTTTACCCAATGGAGTATTGAGAAGGTGAGTGTGAAATGAAATCAAAGTATGCCATTGCAAAAATTAAAGCAAAAATAAAGAAGAAGGAGAATGGATACAGAATGTGGGAGGGTGAGAATTATCATTGTATTGTGAAATACATGCAATTTGCTCATTTTACATAAAGTATTTTTGCTTTTTCTGTTTTTGTTTTAAGACTTAAACACCCACAGTCTAAACCCTTTTCATCCAGGAAAGAGGCAGCTGTGCAGACACAGGCTGCACTTCTGTGTCCAGATTCTTGCCTGCCCAGAGCCTAGCAGCCCACTATGAAGGGCTTACCTGTGAACAAACTAAGCCCTGCTTCTTGGGACTCATGCTGGGACCTTCCCATGAGGCTGTTGACAGCACAATGTGGAGCGCCAAGGAGGGTCAGGCCCCAGCCAGGTCACTGTAATCATCTTGCTGAATGCTGTGCCAGTGGAATTTGAGCCGGCCTCACCAGCACACCCATGTGATGGAATGATGACAGGGGCAAGATTCATGATGAATCTAGTGTCGAGCTCTTTAGATAGGCACTCACGCGCCAGTTCTCAGTGCACAAGGTGCTGGATGTGACTGTCCGTGGACAAATGGGAAGTGAGCTCTAAGATGAGTCAGATGCAAGGAGCCATTTGTTCCCAGGGTCAGAACAAAGTTGCATCTGACCTGACACTATCTGTCCAGGGAGAAAGCTTCTTGGGCCTGTTACAAAGAAGTATGGGAAACCCATATCAAGTGCAGCTGGCCACATGTTCCCCGGAGACACAGCAGGCTATGGAACCAAGGATAAGTCAGGGACACTGGTGTGGGGAGGGACAATGCCACTAAGTCCAGCCAGGTGAGCACCCCCAACCCCCACTTACCACAGAGGTCATGCAAAGAGGGCCCTGGACTGGTTTTCAGCAGGATGCAGACAGGAGTGCATCTGTTAGGGAAACTGCTGAACTTGGTGAAAATTATTCTGAGACTGGGGGATTTCCTCCTAAACTCACCAGGTGATCCTGCCTGCCACTAGGGCTTTCCTGTGCTTCCAGCTCAGCCACTGGCACACAGCACTGCATCTCATTCTGGTTATGTGTTCATTTCACATGGATAGAAAATGCCAGTTACATGCCTGAAGTTGGTTCCATTTTCAAAGAGTGATTCTGAAGAAAAGTTGTCTGATAAATAACGGCCATATGTGATATGAGGATACAGTAAAATCACAAGGAAGCCCACAGGTCAAAAGCACAACAGACCCAGCCCTGGCACCACAAGAGGTAACTGACTTTCCCCCAATCAGCCCAGAGCTGCACCTTCTTCCCTCCCTGGCCTCTATTTCTTTGACTTCCATCCACGATGTTCACACATTCCTACTAAAATACAACCATGCATGGTCTGAACTTTTCATGCTCCCTGTAAAACACATCTCTGCTGACATCAATGGTGGAACGCTTTCATGAAGCTGAGATGGGGCTCTGTTTCCCCACTTGTGTGACAGGCACCTGAGGAACAGTTCTGCTCATTGAGATGCAGCTGTCCCTGAGATCCCAGAAGGGAGTGCCCAAACACAAGGGTGGCAGCCAGGTGTTGGTCACACATACCACAGCAGAGCCCCAGAACGTCCTGCTGGGATTAAATTGAGGAGATTACCTTCCCCACAGCTTCCCCCACTACTCCTCTTGCTTTCCTCCCAGGACACTTGGGGTAAGTAGGAGAAGAAACCTTCCCAAGGCCTCATGCCACCACACCAAGAGCCAGGATGATGATCCTGCACACCCTAACTCACACCTTGCCTCCAGCACAAGGAAGGAGAGCAGAGTACACTGCCATTGAGCTGTATATAAATACAGCACATGGCAAATGCAACAGGCCCAGGCCCCTCTACTGAACAAAACAATTTAAAATTTTGTCTGAACTATCATAAATGCAATAAAACCTGTACAAAAAAGCCATACTTGAACAAAATTCCTTTTGCTTGTCAGTTAGTTCTTCCTCTTCTTTAGGAAAAACAAAGTGGAGAATGCAAGAGAATCAAGCACACCTGTAACCTCTTGCCCCGGCACTGTTTGAGGAGCTGTGTGGCGTTAGCCCACAGAGCTGATGAAATCTTCTAGCAGTTACACCCTAGATCCTCAGTTACCTCTGTTCCTCCAGCTCCCAGTCAACTTTCTGTCCTACATAGCAAACAGTAGCTGAGGAAGATTCCAGAAGCAAATGAACCCTCTGACACATAGCAGCTTCATTGTGTATTTCTTGAAGAGTCATCCACAGTCCTGAAAACACATACCTTGACCACATAGTTGAACCTTCGCGTGTCCTGAATGGCACTTGAGAAATCCAGCCGGTTGAAGGCTTCTCCCAGGGTGCAGTAGCCATGCCTCTGGGAAGCAACATAAGGCAGCTAGGGTCAACAGAGTGTCAGAACTAGCCAGCAAGCAAACGCAACTAGAATGCACAAAAGTGCTTTAAAAAATTGCCAAAGATAACTGTTTTTACTCTGAAGATGAGAGTAACATTATAGCAATTTAAGTTGCTTAAATTAAATTTAAGCCACTTATGCATAACCAAGGCATATTTCTACGTGGAAACTTATTTTAATGTTATTGATGATACAATAACACAGAAAACTTTCATTAAGTATATTGTTGGCTTACTTTCCTGGGGACAGACTGAGGGGAGACACTGTTAAGAAAGATATAAAAATGGGACACAACTTCTGGTCAGACACAGGTGACTTGTGTAGCTCTAGCATAAGGTATAGGTGCTGGCAGCATGCACGGACATGGCTGGGAGAGGCCCCTGGCATGTGGCAGGCATGGCTGGACAAGGCAGGTCCTTTCCACGCTGGCAGTGTGGACACTGAGCACTGAAAACCCAAAGAAACTGGAAGTCAGACCTGAGAGTAAAAAGAGACTGAAATAGAATTCTTTAGTCCTGCAGAGGCACCCCCTCTGATCTGAGAATTCTCTAAGGATGCACCCCATATTCTTCTTTTTAAAGATTTATTTTTATTTTTATTGGAAAGTCAGATATGCAGAGAGGAGGAGAGACAGAGAGGAAGATCTTTTATCTGATCCAAGTGGCATCAACAGCTAGAGCTGCACCGATCCGAAGCCAGAAGCCAGGAACTTCCTCCAGATCTCCCACACGGGTGCAGGTCGACTACATTCCCAGGCCACAAGCAGGGAAATGGATGGGAAGTAGGGCTGCCAGGATCAGAATCGGCGCCCATATGGGATCTCGGTGCGCCCAAAGTGAGGACTTTGGCCGCTAGGCCACCACACCGGGCCCACAACCCACATTCTATATCTTCTGGTTCAGATTTGCATGTTGGGCTAAACCATTTTGAACTTTTTCCATATCTGAAATGCTAAAAAGATACACGGTCTGTTTAGAGCTGTAGGGGCACAAACTGGAAGGAACAGCAAACACAGTGACAGGTCATCCTCCAGTCACTGTGGAGCCAGATCATAGACAACAGCTGATCCCAGTGTCTCAGTCAGGGGGATGCACAACACCTGATCCCTTGTTCTCGGGTCACAGGTGCAGTCTTAACGTGTGCACACCAAGTCAGTGTGTTCGTCCCGTGTCCTCCTGGGGAACAGAACTGTACACAAGGGTGCTCTGACACTGAGGCAGCTCTGACCAGCGGCAGTCTGCACCGTGTGCATGTGTTCTCCACAGGGCCCCAGAACTGCAACACCAAACCATGTCCTGAGACCCCCTGGAGCTGCCGTGACCACCCTGGAGCAGATGAGCAGAGCTGAGCACATACCAACGGCTCAGACCTGTGGGTTGTGGGTTCTGGTCTCTTCCTGAGCCTGCTCATATCCCTGCTCCCAGGACCCACAGGATAGCCCTATGTTCCAACAAGTTCCTGTCTGGACTCTGCCCTCACCAACACTGAGCCAAAGAAAAGACTTCACAGCCTGTCACAGGTTAGTCAGTCAGGTTAGGTCCACCTTGAGGACTGACTATCACCATGTAGGGCCAGTCATATTTTTTTTCCCTGAGAATCTGATCTTCACTTACCATGATGCAGGGCTAGTTTCAAAACACCTTAGCTTTCTCTAGCATGATTCAGTAAGACAGAAAGCCACTCCCACAAAACAAAATAAACACAGAACTTCCAAGATAAGCTTCTCTAATACTGAGTAAAGGAAATGGAAGTATGCTTTATGGATAATAAAAAAAAATAGTTAACTTGGCAAGAGAAAGAATTCAACTTGCACAGTGGGTTCCCTGTGGAGGGAGTAGCCAGGCACATTCACCCAGCTGGTGAGCTCTGCGGGCTCCCCAGAAAGGAACCACGGGGGTCTGGGTAGAGAACATGTGTTACACACACGTGAATGCACTTTCCACACACTCAACACCCTGCACATCACAGAAACTCAACACTTTACATTTATACCACAGTCCACATCCATAATCACATCCTGCACACACTAGACACCCACATGCTCATACTACACACAGCCAACACACTCACACTTACTGCACACTACAGATACAATGGATCACATTCACGCTGAACTTCATGCAACACATCTATTCACACCACACTTACTGCACACAACCCACACAGGTGAATGCATATCCTAGACACCCAACAAACTTGACATCTGACATACATATCCCACACTCATCCCATTCCCCACACTATAATCACACCCTATACTACATCCCACTTTCACACCCAACATACATAACCTACTCACACCTAGCACATATGCCAGTGCACACATTACATATCCACACTCACTGCTGACACCACACTCAAGGCATATACACCTGACACATTACACACACCACATAGACTCAACACACACTCCCAACAAACACCTGTACAAGTTACATACATACCTTATACAAACATCCAGCATATACATGCCATACTTATACAGTTGACACATTATACATATGCACTCACATCTGGCATACTACATATCCCACTTCCTATACTCAGTCAGACTCAACACACTGAGTACTCTACATATACTCAACACACTACACATGACCTATACTGCACACATTCACACTGAAACACACATAAACACCCTGATACACACATTTGACACACACTACTACTACTCATGCCATCAACCCCTTTACGTGACACAATCAACACTCTCATGTCATACAGCTCTCATACTCGCACTCCATATACTGCACATCCAATCTTGACCCTACATGCACTACACACTGCAGTCACCTGTAGATGTTACACACACCCTGTATACGTACTCAGCAAACTACACACACTTACTTGTACTTGATACACAACACAATCAATACATACCCATCACAACAACACACAATCCATACACTTAAACGCACACACCTTAAATCCAACATATCCATGACACAGAGCCAATATGTTGTAATAACCATACTCACTCCCCTACACTCCACACAAAATACAGACTATTCACATCTAGTGTAGGCTAAATAAATGTATAACACAATAATAAACACATGCACTACATGCACCACACAACAACACATGCACAAATTATACATGAAGCACCTCCCACACACATTGTGTTTTAAAAGTCACTCACGCACATGCAACAGTTGGAAAGTAAACAAATATCTGGCATGGCAAAGGAAGTAATTTACTTAATATAAGGTAACAGAGAGAAAAATAACTCTTGTGACAAAATACTTACTTCTTTTGTGCTCTCTTTATGGACATAGATCCATTTTTCACGATAGAAACCTACAATAAAAATTAACTTTCTGTTTAAAATCTGATAAATCACTTCAACTAAGCTTTAAAAAATCTTAATTACTGCAAATGTTAGCAAAGTCACATAAGTTATTAAATACAAATGCTTTTATTCAGCTAAACATAAACAGCATTTCTTAGTATACTGACAGTAATTATAAACACTCTCACATAGAAAATGATTTAAAGGAAAACCAAGACTTAGTATCATGGAATAAAACTGGAATCAATAAGGACTATAGTCAAAATATTATTATATTCTAAAAAATGCATTTATCCATCAATTATTACATATACGAGAGTGCCGCTCTTTTATTGCCCTAGAAACACAACTTTAATATAACTTAAGTTCCAAAGAATCAAATGATGTGAGTTTAATAATGTGAGGTAATGGGGTGACAATCACAATGCTGTGAGGTAGTGTGCTGACAATTCTACTGACGAGATTGCATTTGAGGCAATGCAGTGATATTAACAGTGAGGCGAGGCAGCAGAGGAGGAAGTGCATGAGGCAATGCAATGATAGTCACAATGATGTGAGGCAGTGAGGGACAATCACAGGACGGGAGGCAGTGACACTATGTGGGGACAGTCACAGTGACGGGAGGTAGTGAGGCTGTGTGGGGACAGTCACAGTGATGAGAGGTAGTGAGGCTGTGTGGGGACAGTCACAGTGACGGGAGGTAGTGACACTATGTGGGGACAGTCACAGTGACGGGAGGTAGTGAGACTGTGTGGAGACAGTCACAGTGATGGGAGGTAGTGAGGCTGTGTGGGGACAGTCACAGTGACGGGAGGTAGTAACACTATGTGGGGACAGTCACAGTGACGGGAGGTAGTGAGGCTGTGTGTGGGGACAGTCATAGTGACAGGAGGTAGTGAGGCTGTGTTTGGGGACAGTCACAGTGACGGGAGGTAGTGACACTATGTGGGGACAGTCACAGTGACGGGAAGTAGTGAGGCTGTGTGGAGACAGTCACAGTGACGGGAGGTAGTGAGACTGTGTGGAGACAGTCACAGTGATGGGAGGTAGTGAGGCTGTGTGGAGACAGTCACAGCGATGGGAGGTAGTGGGGCTGTGTGGAGACAGTCATCATGATAGGAGGCAGTATATAAGGCAGTACTATGACAGCTTTGGGGATATGTGGCTGCATGTGTGACAGTGTGGGGCAGATAAGTCTGCCTTCCTGGTGTCGCTGTCCCGCAGCAATGAACTTGGTGCACGGAGCTTATAGTAACATGCGTGGACCCTGACTGATGGTCAAAGCCGAAGTTTATTAGTTGCCTCAAACTTTATACACTGAGGGTTATATAGGATAAGGGAGGAAATATTGAGCTCATCAACAAAACCCAGTAACAGTTTCTATGCTTTTGTTTGGAACTCCTTTTGTCTTATATATTCCACCAAGTGTTCTCACACACATACTGTCCATTCAACTGTTCTTATACAAATGATATCCAATCAGGTATACAAAAGGTGGCCATTTTGTTGCTCTCATGCAAATATTATCCAATCAACTGTAATCCTGTGCTCGCTGACCCTCTAGGGTCACAATGTCCTCCTACACCTGGCACCCCCTATCCCACACTGAATGGAGGACTCACAATCCTTGCTCCAGCTACACTCTATCCTGCTCCCATCTCCAGTGATCTTGTACAAGTGAATCTGGCTAGGTTTGGCTGTATTGCTTGTGAATAAACTGAATCCATGGCCACAAAGAGATCACTCAGAGGCATGGCTGGTTTTCAGGCTTTGGACATGTTCCAACTCCAGTAAATGGGCTGCAACACCACCACATCATGGATCCCATGCTCAGAGCCACCACTGACACATTTGTCTTACCTTGCTTTCACCAGCCAGCCCTTCCGAAACAACTCAGAACATCAACTTCTTGGAGGATAATGCCAAAAATTATTAATGAGAATGATCTTACCTTGGGAATTTGCATCATTTCTAAAATGGTCCTTTTTCCTTTTCTTGGATGCACACTCATGCTCTTCATTACTGAAAACTTCCTCATTTTCACTATTCAGGATACTGAAATAAAAGTACACTTTATTAAAACAATCATTTCAGGGAAATTATCCTTTGGTTTTTCTTTTGTAAGAGAATGTGATAAATATCTGATTATAATTTATAAGCCCAAAACAAAAATGACAGTAAGTTCTGAAAGTATTGATTAACTTTCATAGCAACATATAATGGGTCAAAATTACTAGAGCAATGTAGAATACTGGGTTTTCACTTGGAGAAATCTTAGATATCTCCTGGTTGTAGGGAGGGAGAGCATTACTCAGAAAACTTGAGGAGCACTTGAAAACTTCCTAAATGCTCTGACATGGTTGCCAAGTTGTTTCAGTCATCAAAATGCTTCAACAAACACAGAGTGTAGACAGAACTATAAACCCCTGGGGACATGTGAGTGATACTCTGCATGAATGAATGTGTAAGCTTGGGTGGTGAATCTGTGCCCTTCTTGTATACACTGTGTATCTTCTCACCAAGCATCAACTAGAGCCAAATCAGTAAAGCACACAGCTTCACCATGGAAGCGTGAAACAAAAAGCATTCTCAATAGTTCTTTTTATGAAATAAGGAAGTAAGATCAGACAGCAAAAGCTAACTGATGTGAAAAGCTTTTAAGTTTCTTCTTTGTGACAAAAAAAAAAAAATGTAAACAGCAACCCATACCTTCAAAATTAAAGATGCACAACATTTTCATTTTTTGCACCCAGGGACTGAGAGAATGCAGGAAGGCCAACACTCCAAGTCTGACATCCTCTGGTCCTTCACAAAGAACTTGAGAAAGCAGTGGAGGACTGCTCCCAATTGACAGTGCCCACAGTCTTCTTTTTTCCTACTGCTAGCTGGCCATGGACTTCCTCCAGTGCCCAACCTCCCTTTCGTTTGTCTCCAAAGCTCCTGCCTTTTTGCTCCTTTGGGATGAGTTCTCTTGCATATTTTGTCACTTTTACCAACAAGGTGCTTGGTCCCTAGGCACTTAGCATCTTCCTACACATAGAAAATGAGTGCTGGCATCCTCTGACCCTGGGGTACCTGTGCTGCCTCGGTGGAAAGACCCTTGGCACAGGCCATCCTCCAGTCCTGACATTGACATTCCCCACCATCACTGCCGATTATAGCATTGTCATCCCCATGGTACAGCTTAGAACAGGGGCCTGGGTGTGGTCCTGGGAAATGACTGACAGGTGTACTCTGCTCTTCCTTTCAGATACATTTTCCTAGATCTAGCACATCACTTACTGGCTGAGCCTGAGGCCATCAACAAGCTATCATCTTGCTGGAACAGCATGACCAAGGCCTAAAATCGCTCACAACTAACCCTGTAGCCCCCACCTCACTCTACAGGTTCCCAAGAATCCTGTTTGAGGTCTTGGAAGTCAGGTCCTAATCTGTACACAGGTGCCAAAGGGTGTGACTGAAGACTCCAGGACACCAGATTCAAACTATTTCACGTCCTCACAGAGAGCCTCAGAGGCCATGGATGCCTGGGAAAAACAGGAGCTGTGGCCCATCTTCCTTTCCTCTCTTTCCCATCTTCCTCATCTTCCTTTCCTCTCCCTAGGTCACAAAGGGCCTTTTGATACCACGGATCACCCCCATTCACCACCATTGATTCACCTCTGGGTTATCTCCTTAAAAACTTGAACACTAGAGGGCAGACAGTGCTCAAACAGGCTAATCCTCCACCTTTCAGCATCCTCATCCTATATGAGTGCTGGTTCTAATACCAGCTATTCTGCTTCCCATCCAGCTCCCTGCTTATGGCCTGGGAAAGCAGCACATGCCAGCCCACAGATTTGGGCCCCTACTACCCCTATGGGAGACCTGGAAGAAGCTCCTGGCTCCTGGCTTCAGATTAGCCCAGTCCAATTTATCATAGCCATCTGGGGAGTGAGCCAGCAGATGGTAGATCTTTCTGTCTCTTCCTTTCTCTCTAACTCTTTCAAAATAAATTAATCTTCATGAGAAATTGGGAGGGGCTGATGACAGTGCCTTAGCAGGCTAATCCTCCACCCTGTAGTTCTGGCATCCTCTATGGCACCAGTTCATGTCTTGGCTGCACCACTTCCTATCCAGCTCCCTGCTTATGGACTGGGAAAGCAGCAGAGGATGGCCCAAAGCCTTGGGACCATGCACCTATATGGGAGACCTGGAGGAGGCTCCTGCCTTCAGATCAGCTCAGCTCTGGCCATTGCAGCTATCTGGGGAGTGAACCAGCAGATGGAAGACCTCTCTCCCCTTACTTCCCTTCTCTGTCTATAAATATTTGCCTTGCAAATAAATTCTGCACATTCATACCTTCATCACCCCTGTTTTACAAGGAGATGTGCTTAGCCTCTGCTGTGCCCCTGTCCTTTGGAGACACAGGACACACAGAACAGCAGACAGACAGAATGATGACCCACTGTGAGGGATTTACCACCAGGGCCTCACCACCTTGAGCTCAGCTTGTCCCAGTATCAGACCCATCCCCAAGGGGTTCAGAACCCTTAACCCCTAATCAACAATTCTTCACATACCTGCCCACACCTACAAGCTAACTTTCCCTCTCTACTAGAGGGAACCCCAGCTGGAATTGCTCACAGTGGGGCCTGGTGCCACCCAGACACACAGAGAGGTGGCCAAAGCAGATTTTGGAACCACTGGGGCATATGTTCCTTTTTCCATGACTGATCAAGTGTCACCAAAATGAAGAAAGGTATTAGAAGTTTACACCAAAATTACTGAGGAATCTGAGTCCGCAGTGCTGCCCTCTGGCTTGACCCATGGTGAGCTATACATCGTTCTGTCCACTTGTTGCAGCTGGACCAGAAACCAAATCTGAGCTTAGGCTCACACCCATGTTGACTCCCTGGTGGTCCAACAGCTTGGCCAATGTGCCAACAGACCTTCACCAGAATTAGCAAAGAAGTCATGAAAAAGCAGGACACTGATACCATACAGTTTAGGAGCTGGGATGAAAAAAAAAATTATTATTCAGCCAATAAACTGGGCCCTTTAATACCAAAAGTCAAGCTGAGCCTCCAACCTTCCTTTGATGAATTTCTCAGTCACCCTGTAACAACCCCATTCTGTCAGGTTTTTTTTAAGATTTATTTTTATTATTTTTTGTTGGAAAGGCGGATATACAGAGAGGAGAGACAGAGAGGAAGATCTTCCGTCCGATGATTCACTCCCCAAGTGAGCGCAAGGGCCGATACTATGCCAATCCAAAGCCAGGAGCCTCTTTCGGGTCTCCCATGCGGGTGCAGGGTCCCAAAGCTTTGGGCCGTCCTCGACTGCATTCCCGGGCCACAGGCAGGGAGCTGGAAGGGAAGTGGGGCTGCCGGGATTAGAACCGGCGCCCATATGGTATCCCAGGCGTGCAAGGCGAGGACCTTAACCACTGTGCCACCGCGCTGGGCCCCATTCTGTCAGTTTTAAAGCCAAAGAAAATCTAATGGATCCACATCTCAAGGTCATAAATGAAGACAGACATGATTTGAGAAACACTTATCCACTCAAAGTAGACACAGATATCCAGAAACCCAAAGTGAGGCATTACATAAATTAATTTTAAGAAAAGAAAGAACGGGGCCGGCGGCGTGGCCTAGTGGCTAAAGTCCTCACCTTGAACGCACCGGGATCCCATATGGGCGCTGGTTCTAATCCCGGCAGCTCCACTTCCCATCCAGCTCCCTGCTTCTGGCCTGGGAAAACAGTTGAGGACAACCCAAAGCCTTGGGACCCTGCACCCACGTGGGAGACCTGGAAGAAGTTTCTGGCTCCTGGCTTTGGATTGGCGCAGCACCAGCCATCGCGCTCCCTTGGGGAGTGAATCATCGGATGGAAGATCTTTCTCTCTGTCTCTCCTCCTCTCTGTATATCTGATTTTGTAATGAAAATAAAATAAATCTTTAAAAAAAGAAAAGAAAGAACCAATCTTAACAGTTTAAGCCATCTGTGTCCTGGCTGGGAAATTCTCATCTGTGGCCTCACATCTGTATCTCAGACATCTCAATCAGCCTCACCAGTGACAAAACTCTCATCTGGCTCCTCTCGCCTGTACCTTTAATAGACAAACTCCCAGCAATACTCTCACCTTTGCCTCCCGAGCGAATCAATTCTTAGATATCCCCACACCACCTCCTGGGTGGACAAACTCCTACCTGTCTCCTGACACCTGTGTCCTGGACAAGTAGGACATACTCAATAAAATTAATTTATGAGCATTCTTTTCTGTGCCCTGAGTTAACAGGTAAAGCTGCAACTTACATGTTGTGACTGAGGCCACACTGGTTACTCTCTTTTTCAAGTTTCTGACTATAGGAGTCACACCTTTTCCATCCATCTTCTGTTTTAATCCAAATCCATCCAGGAGACCTCCAGTCCTGACCCAAAAACGGCATATTTCTCCTAAAAAACAGTTGTTCATGGATTTTTTAAAATGTTACATCCTTTTATTATTATCAATTTTAACACACAGTTCCATAGGTCCTGGGAATTTCCTTATTCCCTCCCCAATACTCTCCCCCCTCACTGTGTTCCCCTTTATCGTTACTATAGTATAGTTCTTCATTCACAGTCATATGTCCATCATTGTGGGCATAGACATAGGCAGAGTCCAGCATCCTATTGTCAAGATATAGTGGACAGTTTCACTGGGAGTCAATCTTTGTCTGGAAGTAGAGACGCATGCTGCACTGCATCCTCACATCTGGTTATTATAGTCTCCATTACACATTTATTATGCATCCCCTTAAATGAAAAGCCACAATACAAAATCAGCAACAGGAAGAAAAATAGAAATTTTCAATGCCATGAACTTTTTAAAAAACATGTTACTAGATATGACAGTCTCCATTACACAGTTACTATATAGCCCCTTAAAGGAAAAGCCATAAAACAAAACCAACAACAGGAAAAAAAATTAACAACATCATGAAGTTAAATAACATGCTACTGAATGACTAATGTGTCACTTAAGAAATAAAAAAGAAAATCAAGAACCTTCTTGAAGAAAATGATGCTACTGTCCGATCTGAGTCACTGAATAATTTAATCAGAAGAAAGTGTTTTGAAGAGATGAAACTAACCAAAAAAAATAATAAATAAAAATCCTTGAGATATAGTTTCCGCTAATCTTTGTTGCTGAGATGTGTCTCCTGTAGTCAACAAATAGATGGATTTTGTTTTTTAATCCAGTCTACTAATCTATGACATTTGATTCATGAGTTTAAGCTGTTTACATTTAGTGTAATATGAATGGGTGGAAATTTGGTCCTGTCATTTTAACAATGGTTGTTCATTGATTTAGTCTTCTGTTGTTATTTTATTGGGATGTTCTTCGCATTTGCCTTTGGTTTTGGTGGACACTGTTCCTTTTCTCTGTCAAGAGAACATCTTTAAGCATCATTTGTAGGTTAGGTCTGGAATAAGCATATTGTTTGAGTTTTTCTTTACTCTGGAAGAATTTTATTTCATTTTCAAAGACAAAGAAAGTTCTCCTGGGTATGCTATCCTGGCCCAACAATTTTTGGCTTTTAGAATCTGGATTATGTCACTCCATTCTCTTCTTGCCTGTAGAGTTTCCTGTGAGAGATCTTCTGTGAGTTTAATTAGCATTCCTTTATATGTCAGTTGATTTTTTACATGTGCACATTTAAGACTGTTTTCCTTATGTTCAACTGAAGAGAGCTTCTTATCATGTGTCTTGGTGAAGATCACATTTGGTAAACCCTACTGGGAGTTCTGTGCCCCTCCTGGATGTTGTTTCCCAATTCTTTCTCTAGATTAGGAAGATTCTCCCTTATTATTTCATTAAATACACTTTAATCCCAGTATCTCTTTCTACATCTTCTGAGACTTCCATAACTCTAATATTTGACCTTTTAATAGTGTCTTTCAATTCTTGAATGCTTTTTTTAGCCTAATCCAGCTCTGCTTCTAGCTTTTTTGTTTGTTTCCCCCTGTTGACAGGAAATATCTTCCAATTCTGAGATTCTTTCTTCTGCCTCTTTCATTCTATTTTGGAGACTCTCCACTGTACTTTCAATTTGCTTCACTGCATTCTTCATTTCTGATATATCAGCTTTCATTTAATTATTTTCCAGTGTGACACATTTCTTAAATTTCTTGAATGCCTGCTATATATGCTTCTCATTGTTGATAAGAAGCTTTATAACAAGTATTTCTGTATCCCCCATTTTCTCAATGTCTTCCTCAGTGAACTCTGAGGTTGGCAAAAGCTTTTGCCCCTTTGCTTGGGAGTCTTCAGTAATATTCTTTGTGCCTTTGTCTCCTCCTTTGCTCTTGGTAATTGTATTTCTGGTTAGCAGAGTCTTCTCCTTGGGGCAGGTTTCAAAACTGAGTCACCCACAGGTCTACAGTTCAAATTTATTGCAGTTGGTACACGGCTCTGTTTGCAAGCACTTGTGCCACTCCCTCCAGAGAGTTCCAGGTCTGGGTTCTTATGTCAGATATCCACCATGGTCCCAGTAGCCTCAGCTTCTGGCTCACCAATCTCCACCTTCTATGATACTGTGCTGAGACTGCACTGTTGTCTGTACAACCTTTCTCCCACTTCTGGTTGGAGCAGGTGTCAGGATTAGGGAGACACCAGGTGTCCTATATAGCTAGATTGTTCTTGGTGCTGATCTTGCCAAAAGCTTTTGGCTGTTAGGTCTGAGGGCCACACGGACCTATATGACCCATTCGAAGCCACAGTCAGTATTATTTTCCTGTGTGACCAGTGCAATGCACTGAGCTCAGTGAGTTCTCACAAGCTCTGCGCATGCACAGCTCACTGTTGTCCCTGCAGTCTTAAAACTTTTTCCACACTATACAAAATGGCACCTGATGTGCCACTACCAGCGATCTTGATCTGCTGGCTGTCAGGTCTGAGGGCTACTTGGACCTGCCTTGAGTGGAACCTGTAGGATGCCATGTTGCTGCATTTCGCTGAGCCAGAAATGAATTCACTTCCAGCTCAGTGCATACGCAATCCTTTCCCTAGCTTTTGCCTCCTTAAACAAAATTGTGCCCAGTTCAGCTCTATGGGCAGGCTGGCTATGAAATTCACCCTGTTCCCACACTGCCCATCTGGGATCTGCCGTTCTGTCTCTGCTCCTAGTCAAATCAGAATTCTCCTAGACCAGCAGAACAGGCAGTTCTTTGCCTGGGTTCACCTCCAGAGCTCCCAGTAAACGTCCCTTCCCACCTGTTGCTGGTGGAGTTCTGGTTGCTCATGCAATTCAGATCACCATCTGCTGAATGCTGCTGAGGCACCAGTCACTGCAACACCAAACCATCTTGTCCACTGCTTTCCTCTGCTGTTAGGAGTACCTCCAGGTACTCCGATGCTGTTGTTCCGTCTTCTCCTATTTCCTGGAATGTACCCTCTCTGCTTCATACTGGTTAATATTTCTCCGTCTGTTTAAACATGTCCTTACCCTATTCCGCCATCTTGATTCTCCAGAACAGTTGTCCATGGATCTTAAACACTAAAATCATTATTCAATATTTGAATGTCTGCTTATAAGTCAGCCTCCCTAGTTATTAGTGATAAAATCATGCCAAAATATGACACCACAATTATCCTGAAATGATGAGTACATCTTAACTGTCTTTAAGAAGCTCACATAAATATCATGAAAAAAAAATTGTACACAGATTTCAACATTTTTGTCCCAAAATCAACACCTTTAATTCTATTTCTCACAAACTTTTGAAGTGTCCTAATTCAAGTCAACTTACCAGCCTAATCAATATTATCTGTTGTCACCAGAGGTGATATCCAAACTCAGATCTGAAGAGCATTCAGGGGTTCTGGACATGGGTGAGCCTACAGAACAGCCAGGGCTCTGGGCATGATAACCCTACAGAACAGCTAGGGCTTTGGGCGTGGTGAGCCTACAGAGCAGCCATGGCTCTAGGCATAGGCATAGTACTCCTAAAGAGCAGCCAGGAGTCTGGGCAGGGATGAGCCTACAGAATGTTACCACAAGCAGAGTCTAACCCTGTGGCCTAGAGTTATGTGCAACATAGAATGAGGTGGATTTCTGGTCAGCAACTCTGAACAGTTCAATCTGGGAGAAGTTGGACTAGACCAGCAGAGGCAACAGAGTGGCTAGAAGACAGAAGTGAGAGCTCATTAAAGGCCAGGTAAGTCAGAAGAATGAAACTTGCAAAGGCAAGCAACCTGATCAGACCTGAGGTTTACAAAGACCTGGGAATTAAGCTGTAGGGAGTGGCTAGAGTGGATGACACCAGAAGCAAAAAGGACAGAATGCAAGGTACTGCATACGACCTTTGTCAGCAAGTACAGTGAGTCAGGGAATGTCTAGACAAAGTCAAACAGCACTTGAGAAGCTGTGAGGAGAAATCATATGCCCAGAGCTGGGTTTTCAGCACCTGATTCTGAGATGAGGAGCACATGGATCTGAGGCCTTTGCAGGAGAGGGACATGCCTACTGGGTTTGACAGCCTGGATTCCAGGTGTGGGGACTAATTTTTAAAATGACAAAAAATAGAATTACTTCACAAATTGTATGATTTGATTAGAGCAAAATCTACCCTAAGTTCTTTCCATGGATTGGAATTCCCTTCCTCCTTACCCAGTGGGCAAGAGGAGGAGATTAAAATCAGAAGAGATTAAAATCAATCTTGGAAGTTTCTAAAACACAGAAGTGCTTACCCCCACCTCACACAAACTAAATATTACTATATTGGGTGAAGACCAGGCTAAGCATTTCTGAAGGGACCACTGGGGACCCTCACGTAGAGAGGAGGATGTACCTCAAATGTCGACACTGTATACTCAGCTGTCACTTCCCCAGAGTCCACACCAGTTGTCCCTGTCACCACTGTTTCCATGGTGACAGAGTCGTAGGTATCTGGTGCTTTTGTCTGTTTCCCTCCAGGGCAGTGCAAGGTGAACACAGAGCTCTCCCAGCACACAGTGAATGAATGTACACACCAACCCTACTACACAACAGAGATACACAGGAGAGCAACAAAACCCACAGGAACACTATCATGGGTGTGGAGTAGAGCCCTGCGAATTCCAGCATTTAGGGGACAAGAGGATAAAGACAAGTCAAGAAGGAAACCTGAAAAGGAAGAGCTAGACAGATAAGTGGAGAGCAGAAAGCCTTTTAAGCATTTTTAAGAGGAAACAATGAAGCAGCTTTGGGTTGGAAAGCCACATTGAATTCAGCCCCAGGAGGCAGCCAAGAGGACTCAAGCATGGAGCAGAGACCATCTGTCCTGAGCAGAGATGGAGGGCCTTAGGATGGCAACTGCTCACATTACATAGAGAGTCTAGGAGAGATGAAGGGTTCCAAATACCACCTTCTGATTTTATTTAGTACAATTAGGAAAATGGACACTTACATTATTTTAGAAGAGAAAAAAAGAGTTAGGCAGGACATTACACAAAACTCAAACATAAGAGTGGGCAAGCCACAAAGGCCTGTCCCTGAAAGGGTGCATGAAACATACATGAAGTCAGTTTTTTTTTTTAGAGCCAAAGGATCTCCCTGATGGTGAAAACATATCTCTCCCAGCTACAGACCAATGAACTGACATTGTTGCTTTACCACAAGCTTTAAAGACAGTCCTTAGCCTCCTGTACTAAGTTGCTGGATCTCTTCCACGCCTGCCTCACAGCCATCGACCTTCTACATGTGGTGGTCTTGAGTCAGCTCTGTTTGCCTCCAACATGCACTTAATCTTCCAGCACGCCAGACCCAAGATAAGAACATTGCCACAAAAAAGGGCAGTGATAGGGAAGACGTGCCCAACTTTCAAACACAATAGCAAAAAAATTGCTGCCAGGACCCTCTCTAAAGTATTTCTCAATAGATAATAAAAATGTGGGATCAAAAATCCCTTTTCAAAAAAAATCAAAAGATAACTTTTAAAAATTCCTGCTCTCAAGTGAATACTATCTGATCAATAACATAAAAACAAAAAGCAGCAAAACACACACAGGTAATATAATTGACATCTGTGATAAAGCAAAGTACAACTCTATACACGGGTAATATGATTAACAGACTATAATAAAACAAAGTACAACACACACTCCATATACAGGTAAATATGACTAACATCTGTGATAAAACAAGGTGCGGCACACATGTACACACTTACAAGTGACCTCTGAACACAAGTATTTAATGAGTGATAAAAACAAAAACTAAAATCAAGAACAGGCCTTTAGTTAGGAAGGCTCTGAGGAGAAAGTAAGGTATGTGTGTGGCCCTTAACACACAGACTTCACAAGAATGGAACAGCTGGCTATCCCAGGAGTGGGGGCTGTAGAAGGACAGAGCTAGAAGGTGGCTGACCCAGAGTGGAGGCTGGAAAGCAGTGATCTCAGAAGGAGCCAGTGCACACCCTAACGAAGGCGAGGGAAGCCAGACCGTAGGCCGCAGCACTATAGCTAACTTCAATCTCAGATTAAAATCTCAAAACATCCAACAATGAAGAGACACAAGCAGTGTTTTGCTAGAACTGACATTTTCCAGAGCTTGCTGCAGGTCAGACTCAAGACTGGAGATGAGAACAAAACCTAGCCAGGCAGCAGACAGCACCTGTGGACAAAGCTGTACATTTGACTACACACGAGGAGCTGCCCAAACTACAGATACTGGAACTCACTTTGCCTTCAAGGACTCAGAGATCTGAATGTGTTAGCTGCAGAGTGTGCACTGCTGAAGGACTGGACAATGGCATTACGCCAGGGGCCTGGGAAGCGCAGAGCAGTCCAAACTGAGGGTTGTGCAGAGGGAAGGTAGTGCTTCAGTGCCTGCAGGGCACATCCCAGTCTAAGGTGTCATCTATGCCATTCACGGACTACACACAGACTCCAAGGATTTACTCAGAAATAGTGGTAGGGAAAAAAAAAAAAGCTTGTCACCTACAAGGTCCATGTCTCAAGTATTCGAAATTATTCCCAATACAAAGCATGATTTTGTAAGTCAGAAAATGTTACTGAATGAATGGGAATGCATTCACCTGTTCAACTCGAAGACATCAATTATTAGGGCTTTATAAATATATTCAAGTTACTTCTGTTTTGAGAATTTGCAATCTTAAAATAAGAACTATTATCACTCCTAGGCGTGGGATTTAGCACAACTGTTAAAATGCCCACTTCTAACCTCACAGGGTTGGGTGTGAGCTCCATCTCTGTTCCCACTTCCAGTTTCCTGCTCATGTACACCCTAGGAGGCAGTGATGGTTTAAGTCCTTGAGTCCCTGCCACCCACCTACAAGATGTGGACTGAAGTCCCACCTCATGGCTGTAGCCTACCCCAGTCCCAGCTCTTGTGGGTAAGTGGGGCATCAATCTCTGTCTCTCCCTTGCACATAAATAGCAATTATTTCTTAAAATTCTGAAAAGCAAAGGCAAAGAGCACCTACTCCACTGTGATGCCCCTCATACAGGCTAGTTTTTAAACACATTGCACATCAATGCTGGTAGGCAAGTTCTTGGGTTGAATAATTTAAGTCTTTCTTGACTCTGTCCTATATGGCACATGGAAAATGGTATGTGTGCCAGGACGTGCAGGAGAATAGACTTCATCAAGCTGTGTGCTGCAGGAACCCAGCAAGAATAAACTAACCAAGAAACGTCTGTCCATTGTGGGCAAGGTTCTTCTTAGCTAACTGGAATAAACAAGGTCCAGCACCAGGTAGAGCTCAGGATGGGCTGGGAGTGACTCCCAACAGCCTACTCTCCCCAGATCTCACTCCCCCATAAGGCAGGAAATGTGAATTACTCTTGTTCTTCAGGATTAATTCTTCCCCGGTGAGAACAAGGAACTGAGAGAATCCCTGCAGTAATCACCAGGAACAGCCCACCCCTGGGTCCCCATCACAGCAGGTGTCATACAGCGACAAGGTTGGGGTGTTTGCTAACATAACTTACACTAGGACCTAATGCACAGAGGGCTCTACACACAAAACCTGACAGGAAACAAGGCACTTAAAAAAGGGTAATGTGTGTTTTTACTATTTGCTTTCAAGCAAGATGGAAAGTAAATGGGAGAGCCAATATTTACAAGTTAACTTGATCTTCACAAACCATAAAAGCTGTGAGCAAAAAGCAAGTGCTAGGGCTATACATTAAAAAAAAAAAAAACCAAGGATGTCAGGATGAACACCAAGGTCATTTCACACTCACAAAACAACAGTTGGCAAAAGGATTTATTTTCTCTTTTGTATTTTTTATTGCTAATGTTTACAAAAATAACCTGCATTGTTTTCAGGGAAAAAAAATTGGCATTCACTTGATAAATATCTGATTCTGCTTTCTTCATCTGCTTTCCTAATACTATTCCCAGAAAACTTGGGGTCAAATATGAATAGAACTGTGTAGTGGGCACTGATCGGATCCAGAAAGAACATAAAAATCAGCAAAGCTGGGATCAGAAATGGGGTTCACACCCAGAAAGCCTGAATCATGGCTGCTTCCCAGACAGGGCATATGGGACTGGGGCTGGGATGTGGCAGGGGAAGGCTGGCCTGAGAGAGCAGGGGATCAGACAGGAAGTACCCTAACCAGGACTTGATTGGAACACAGCAGGGGAAGACCAGGTAGGCCTTCCTTGGGTGTCCCCAAGGAAAAGCATACACAATGTGCCCTAAGAACCACAGGGGGAGGCAAGGACAGAGAAGCAGCCCAGACTGTGGCCAGCCAGTGGAAAAGGGGCTGTGTCAAGGCAGATGGGCTAGGGGGAGCTAGATGGATGGTATGGGAACTGATCAGGGCAAAACAGGTTGGTGCATAGCGTGGCTAGGGGCAGCTTCTATAAAGCAGATGCAGCCCCGTTCACCAATCCATCACCCTTCCTCACCTGGACCCTCACCCCATTCCCCATCAGGACACTCACAAACTTCCTTCACACCTCGTCACACCTGGACCCTCACGTCTTGTTCCCACCAGACCTTCATGCCTCTTCAGATCTCATGCACCTTCAGATCTCATCCACCTGCACGCCCCATCCTCAACTAGACCCTCACACCCATCCCCACCTGGACCCTCAGGCCTCATCCACCTGCACGCCCCTTCCACACCTGGACCATCATGCTCCTTCCCCATGTGGGCCCTCACAGCCATCCACACCTGGACCCTCACGGCCCGGTCCTTACCTGGACCCTCACAGCCTCGTCAGCACCCGGATCGTCTACGGTAGTCCTCACCCCACAAGGTGGCGGCCTAGTCCAGGCCCGTCCACACCCAGTCCACCCAGTCCGCCCAGGTCCACCCCACGCCCGCTGCTCAGTCCGCACCTGGAGCTGACGCGGCAGCCGCGTCCAGGATTATTGCCGGAAGTCACCCGCCGCGTCCCGGCGTGCGGAAGCCCCGCCCCCGGCCGCTGACTGGTCTCCGCGGCTCCGCGTGGCCTTGTTGCTACCCGTTCCCTAAGGCCCAGTGTGCGCGTGCGCAGTGGGTTTGGCCGACGCCTGCCGAGGTCGGGGTTACCCTTTGAGTTGGAGGAGCGGGGCCTCCGGCGTTCTGTTGCCCTCCGGCTCCGGGGGCCGGAGGCCGCTTCTGGGAGCTTGGCCTCTGGGTGCTGGGCTTCCGGGGGCGGGGCCGTCGAGGGGCGGTGCTCAGGGGGCGGAGCCGCGGGCCCGGAGGGCCGGCTGTGTGGAGCGGCGTGTGGAAGGGGTTCGAGGGGTCGTTGCAGTGTTCGACTGGGACAATGTGCTGGAAACGTTTCTGGAAGTCTCCGACACTGATGCCGAGGTTGCACGACGGAGTTGGGGGTTGTACGCACTTCCTTTCCCGCAGCGTGTCGTTGGATCCAGACCCTTTTCAAGGGCGCACGTCCCTGCGGCCAGCCCTCGTGGGTCAAGTGTTTAGACTCTTGTAGCGTGGGGGGGGGGGGGGGGGGGGGATCGCTCCATTGTTAACTAGTTGGGGCTTGCTCCGCTCCGTGTATCCCCAAAACCTTAACCTGCTGCGCGGTCCAGCCTCAGCCAGGCTCGTTTGGGATCCCAAGGCAGGACTCCAGGACCAAACCCCCAATCCAGGACTCAGTGCCACCTTGAATGCCACAAACGCCTGTGTACCTAGGACTGTCTTAAATCTAAGCCTCAATCCCCTTGAGCACCTAATTACCCAGCGCTCAACCGTAAACCTCCTAGCTCAACCCCCTTAAAGCCCGCTTGCCTCATCAAGCTTAGTGACCTCTAGGTTTAAACTGTGCTTTCCACCAATATCAATCCCTTGAAGCGTATATTCCCGGTGTCTACCCACAGCCGCACCTGCCAATCCCTGAACTCCACACTCCCTATCTCCCTACCCTAAAGCCATCTCCCCTTTGTTCTATCTTCTCTTTCTCCTCCTGCAGTTTTTGCTCTTCTCTTTTCCTCCTGCTCTATGTCTCTCTCTCAGCTCTTCTCTGCTCTTTGTCTCTCTTTCTCTACTCTCTGTTCTGCTCTCACCTTCTCCCTGCCCCACGCTATCTCCCTCACTGGAATAAAGGCCTCTCCTGTGGCTCACTTACTGTATTCTGCATCTTGGATTTGTGGAAAAACGCACATGTGGAGTGGGTTCTGGCCCGGTTATAACATCAACTCAGGTCTGAAGGCCAGTCAAGTCTGTTTACCTGGGTCTACTGGGTGCTCCTCAGGCCCAGAGCACAGGGGACACAGTCGCTGTTTCAGTAAGTGGTAATAGCACCGGGACAGCAACCTGAAGCAGAAATTAAATGAGACAAGTGGAAATTAAAATCTGGTAATGTGAGTGCCCCTACCTCAAACAATATGCAAAATAAGTTCTAGAGTAGAATGAATGAGGGTTGGTTGAACTTTGTTGCAGCATCAGCTGGCAGATGCCGGCACTGAGGGCTAATTCTGTCAAGCTAAACTGCAGAACCACCTGGAAAGTACATGATCTGGAAGTGGCCCAGTAGGGAAATAGTGGGCACCTCCCTCTTGGGCTAGCACTCCCACTGGAGAGCATGAAAACCAGGACGGAGCAGGCATGGCTAGACAGAATGGCACCCACCAACGTGTGTGGGCTGGAAAGTGGAGCTGGTTGGGTTGAACTAGGCTTCAATGTTTTTTGTTCTTAGTGTTGATTTAATTGTTTTTTGTTCTTTTGTTGAAGGGCAATGAAAGGGATCAAGGCAACTCAGCCAATCTACAAACAGGGCCTTTAGAAGAAACTTCCTTTTATCTTTATAAACTGTTTTCTTTCCCCAAATATGAGTACCAATGTAAGATAGAAGCTTTTATAAACTCTTTTCTTTCCCTAAATGTAAGTGCCAGTATAAGGTTGAGATTTTAAGCCATTTTGGGAGGGGGGTTCACATTTGTCTCCCTCTAGAAGACGCCCATACACTTATTGCTTTCTGTGGTGAGAAACTAAAATGCATCATATCACGTGTTGTAACAGTTTGAGGCGCATGGTAAACAAACTCTTTGTACCTCCATGATTGCCATCTGTTCCAAGATATTATCAAGCCATTTCTTAAGGAAAACATTATTTATATTAGGGCAAACTTCAGGACAAAGGTGGGCACGTAGCAGGATGTTTGGAGACATTGTGGGCTCAATTGTACTATTGTATACTTCTAGCTGTGTGTCATTGCCTTATGTTGCTAAAAATGTTTTTATCATAACATGATTGATCAATTTGAGGTGTTATACCAGTTACAGAAATCACTTCACATTAGCAGAAAAATAACAACACCCTCAGGAGAATTCTATGAAATATCAGCGAGGTGATTGAGTGTCCATGCAATGGGGTGAGGCAGCAATGAGGTGACCAGAGACATTCTGCCGGGCCTTGCCACACAGCCAGAAACTCCTCGTAGCCTTGCTGAGGAGCGGTGCTCATCACACACCCATACCATCCGACCCAACTGCATGGCTCCCCACACTTACCCACTTTCCTGTAGCTCTTGGCCCATTGTGCCCTAATCAACTATGTAAAGATCATCAAAATAAAGCAATAAGAAACAGAGAGAAACAGTTAGGGAGAGCCTATCCCACAGCAACTCGAAAGCTAAAGATAACAGGGAACTAGATTTTGGACATTAATGTGAAGCTTTCAGTAATAGCTTTGGTAGAAAAAAAAAAAGGTCTGAAAATTGGAAGGCCTCTTGGAAAGGGGATGGAGGGAGACTGGCTCATGCCTGCTGAGTGGAAGCCTCAAAACAGGAGCCAGTATGTTCCATATCAGCTGAGGCTCTTCTGCCCACGTGCTGAGCCCAGAGGTTCTTCCCTGGTGAATGAGATGACTTTGTCCTTGTGGTAAGGAGGCTGAATCGAGTCACCTTCCCAGAGACACTCCCAGCTCACCCTACGCTAACCTCTCAGGGCCCCCTCTTGTAGACATACCCTCCTCACTCTGATGTGACACAGGACACCATGAAAACATGAAACCTCTCACTCTGATAGATTAGCCAAAACTACTTCACAAATTCCTAGGTGTTGAGTTAGTTTAACTTCAGGGTTTTAAAATGTAGCTTTTTGAGGCCCTGTGCAGTGGCATAGTGAGTAAAGCCATTGCTCACAGTGGCAGCATCTCAACGAACACTTGTTTGAGTCCTGGCAGCTCTTCCACTTTTGATCCAGCTCCACCCACATGACCTGCAATGCACCACAGGATGTCCCGAGACTTTGGGACCCCTACGCCCTAGTGGAAAATGTAACCCTAACTCCTAAGGCCAGCAGATGGAATATCCCTCCTTTTCTATAACACCACCTTTCAAACAAGAGATTTTTTTTAAAGTAGCTCTTATTAGAACTTTATTCCAAAGATCTTTGACATTCCAGATGAAAAAGTGTGGGGAAGAGGAAAGTCAATATATTAACTTCTTCATAATCTCCAATTCTCAACAGTTGTACTTTTAGCTGCTGTAACATTTTGCTTCATCCCAATGTTCTACAGCAATACCAGAATCAAATATATTTGTTTTTTCAGACATTGAATAAGAATTGTAGAAGAATGAGTCCACTTTTCCCACCAGTTTAACAGCAAGACATCATGTGCTATTTACCAACATCTGCAAAAATTTGGGATAGTTTTGGAAACTCGTGTGCATGACTATTATGTCTAGCCCCTGGCTTGCCCTGACAAAAGGTCAAAACTAGCAGGAGGGGCCCGGCGCAATGGTGTAGTGGTGAAGCTCCTTGCCTTGCACTCCCCGGGATCCTGTATGGGTGCTGGTTCTAATCCTGGCAGCTCCACTTCCCAGCCAGCTCCCTGCCTGTGGCCCAGGAAAGCAGTCAAGGACAGCCCAAAGCTTTGGGACCCTGCACCCATGTGGGAGGCCCAGAAGAAGCTCCTGGCTTCGGATTGGCTCAGCTCCAGCCATTGCGGCCTCCTGGGGAGTGAATCATTGGACAGAAGATCTTCCTCTCTGTGTCTTCTATCTGTATAACCGCCTTTCCAATAAAAATAAAATAAATCTTAAAAAAAAAAAAACAACAAAAAACTAGCAGGAGTCACCTTTCTCTAGGGGCCACACTGTGTGCTAGGGTTCAGACTCAACCGCCAAAACAGGCCCCCGACAATAGGGGCATGTGGAGCGTATCATGAGCCACGTGTCCAGGCAGCGCAAGTGGCATACATGCTTACAAGGCAGGCACCGGATCAGGTCCCCATCCACAAAGCTCTCGAGACAGATGAAACACTCCTCTTCCTCCTCCTCCTCTTGTTTGGATCCAGTTCCTCCAGCCTTGTAGACTTTTTGCGGTAATTGTTTGATGAGTTTCTGTCTGCGAATTTCTTCGCGGGTTTGATGCCTTGGCCTCGGGGATGATAGAAATTGGATCAAATCCATCAACTGTGGCTGCTCCTGTAGGACGCGTTCCTGATGTGGCCCAGACAGCTGCTCACCCCTGGAACCATTGCGGGAAGTTCTCAGGCAGTTGCCCATCTCCCCAGACTAGCAGGAGGGATCTTTGCACGATCTACGCTGGCTCCTCAGCTCACAGTTGGACCCAAAGTCCTGGCGCAAAGAGAAGTAGGTAAATAGAGTTTTACTCAGTGTGACTCTGCTGCAGGCTGACACGTATACATGCAAGTTACGCCCTCAAAACATGTACCAGTTTGTACCACAAAGTTCTGTGGCTGTAAGGGATCCAGGGGATCCTCATTGTACTCTAATGCTGAGCTCAATTCAATTCCTAAACATCTGAGGGAAGCACACTTCATGCAGGCACTGTGGATGTCATGTTCAGATGACAACCAGAGCCACCCCACCCCGCCGCCTCCCTTCCTGTTCACATAATCTCTTCTCACTCCCAGTTCTCCTCCTCGGGAACTTGTAGTCACATGCCTCATGCTTCACACTTTCAACCATCCTCCACATGCTGTTGCCTTTATTGTGCAGGCTAATCACTGTGCATTCACTTGCACAGAATTCACTGGAATCCACAACTCTCACAAGCTCCTCAGCTTTTGGTTTTTTAAAGATTTATTTATTTTTATTGGAAAGGCAGATATACAGAAAGGAGAACAGA